AGCCAGTGTGATAGCAATTCTTTTTCGTGGGTTCTTTATTCCTTTTTATTTATTTATTTATTTATTTTTCAGAGCTTATTTTATAATTTTATAATATATATATATATTATATATTCCGTATTAATTAAAAGTACCATTTATTTTTTTATCCTACAAATTAAGAGTGAAATTTTTAGTTGAATTACGAAATTACCTAAAATTCTAATTTATATTAAATGCAAAATAAATAAATAAATAAATAAGGTGGAAAGTCATTAAATCAATTTCAACCAACAAATGGTCGCATCCACCAAATTTATTTTGTTAAATTATTCTCCCCTAAATTTAAATATTTTTGTTTTTTTTAGGTCCAAACTTTAATTACTCCTTACCCGAAGAAAAAAAAAACTGACACCCGAGTGCATCAAAGATACACGAATATACCGATGTCATGTTCGAATGAGAGAGATCTTGAATATAGAATGTACTATATATACCAATCAGGTGCTCTTGAATTATTGGGAGTCAGTCCCACGTTGGTTAATTTAGTGGAAGATCATGGGTTTATAAGTGAGGAATATTATCTTCATTGATATGAGGCCTTTAGGGCGAAGTAGACAATATCATATCATTGTAGAACGTCGAGACTCCTTCGCTTTAATGCAACAAACGCTTAAAAAAGACTTTTACAGAATTAAAATATCTCATCTTAATATTGAAATTGATATTATAATGATATTATTAATAGAAAATGCAGGCTAAAAAAGCTTTGTTTATTATAATTTAATTTAATTTTAGCTATTTTTTTTAATGGTATTTATTTATTTATTTTGGCGGGCGAAACAAAAAAAAACACACAAAAATAGTTTGTGTGTCGGAAAACGTGGTGGAGTGGCCAAAGGAAATGTCGGCAATGGGCAAATAGATTTGATACACGTGGCAAGTGTTTATTGGATGTAAAAATGGTAAGAAGTAGAACTGAGTGTAGGCGATCCTAGAAGCTTCCGACAGCTCACAGTGGGGCACTCCTCTTTCCTCATTTGACCATAGTTTTGCTTTGATCAATATCTTCCATTATATATATATATATATATAAAATATCGACTTCAATTATAAATTCTAGAAAAGATATTAAAATAATAATAATAATAATAAATTCAAAATAATATATTTAAAATAATAATTAAACATTTTATATTTTTCAACCCGATAAAATGATAATTATTTATATTATATTCACGTTAAATAAATTATGTTTCATATATATATATATATATATTTTACAATATAGTAAAATATCGGTTGACTTTTAAGTAACGTCAAAAATTTAATATAATGGATACCGACACAATATAGTAATTTTAATAAAATTTAGAAAATATATATATTTTTAATATTTATGTCGACATATTAAATAATGTTTAAGTTTCATCATATCGGTTGGGTTTGACAATCTGAATGAAAAATATCATCGAAGTGCCTTATTTTCTTCGATAGAGTCGTTTTTTTCTATTATTTTTATATAAATCAAATAAACTTGGCCCCGACAAAAAATTATATGAGCGAATTATAAAAGATTTGTATTTAGTAAGATTAAAAAATATTTTTGATCCACTATAATCACTAAAAAAATTATATTAATTAAACACATTTTAAATAGGATATAGAAAAAGTGATTTTATTTTTTTAAAATATTTCTTCTAGAAGTTATTCTAATATATTATTAAACATAAATAATTATTCTAGTGAAGGACACGTGTCATTCTCTAAATAATCAAGAAAAGATTTTGAAAATATATATATTTTTTTTTGGAAAATAAAAATTTTGGGTCGATTCATATGTTGTTATTTTTTTGGTTGGGTTAACTCGACCAACCTTAAGATAAAATTCAACCCAACCCGACTCAACCTTATCCTACTTTTAAGATTATTATGAAAATTAACAATATTTAACTTTTACAATCGATTTTAATGATGTATTGTAACTTGTGAACGTTTAATATTTGAATTTTATGAAATTTAATTATTAAAATAACATGTATGGTAGATAAATATGATTTTTTTTTTAAATAAAAGAAAACAACTCGACGACTTAACCCAACTCGAAAATAGAGAATTGGGTTATGAACTCTATTCTGGTTATTCGGATCACCAACTCAACAAATTCAAAATTTCAAGTTGTTTCAAAAGGTTTTTCCAACCCAACCCGTGCACACTTCTTATATCTGATTCTTTTCAAAATAAGCATTTTACTTCACTAACTCTAGGTTGTTCGTCTAATTTCGACCTTTCAAGATAAGCACTCAAGCCCTACTTGAATTATAAATAACATTCTCGATTGATCAGTGTGCCGTATGATAATTTTTTGAATTCTTGTCTTAACCTCAGTAGCTGATCATCTCGACCCTCAAAATGGGATATAATATAATCGAGGTTATTCAAATTTTAATCCGTTAAAAAACTTAATTAATGAATGAAATTTGTATCCTAATTAAGAACTATTTTAATTCTCTTCAAAACATGAAAATAGCATTCAATCTCTCTTGAATCTGACTTGAAAGAAGCACACACATAAATACAACGTAGCGTTTCCTATGTATGTAATAGCCAAAACTGTGTCTATTAAGGAGAGGTTTCCAGACCCTGATAAGGAATGTTTTGTTCCTCTCTCCCACTAATATGGGATTTCACAGTCCTCCACCTTTGGGATCCAGTATTCTCGTTGCCACACCGCTTGGTGTCTAGTTCTGATATCATTTGTAATAGCTCAAGCTCACCCTATTAAAGAACGTTTCGTTCTCCTCTCCCACTAATATGGAATCTCACAATCCACCCCTTTTGAGGCCAGTATCCTCGCTGACACACCACCTAATATTTAGCTCTAGTGTCATTTGTAATAGCTCAAGCTCACCGCCAATAGATATCATCCATTTTGACCCGTTACATATCGTCGTCAATCTTACAGTTTTAGAACGCGTCTACTAGGGAGAGGTTTCCACACCTTAATAATGAATGTTTCGTTCCACTCTCCAACCAAAATATGTATGATGGAGTCGAGTTGATTTTAACTTAAAGCATTAGATCGCTTGTCTCAGCTAAGAAGAGTGAAGAAAAGAACGGGTTCAAAATTATGATTAATTTCGATTTCAAATCACGCGATAAATGCACTTGACATAAATGGCCTACGAATAAAAAGAGAGGATCCGTAAATTTTTGAACACGTCGAGTATGCCAATTACTAATTACATAAGAATTGAAGGACCAATTAGAAATTTTATAAAGTTGTAGGGGCTAACACATGCAAATTCTAAAATTTGAAACACTAAACATGTAATTAATTGGAAATAGGGAGTTTGTGAGGCTGTGGTTGGCCGGTTTTTGTCGGTGGCTCTGTTTCTGTTGAAGCTCATAGGTTGCTTGACTTCACCAACCAGCCAATCAAAATGACCGAAATAGCCCTTGACAAAGAAGTAGATTGCCATTAATGCAAGGGTAGATTTGACCGTTTAGAAATGACATGAATAAATATGATAATAAATCTTCAAACTTTGGATGCCCAATTAAATGAATTCTTTTTTGTTTTTTGTTTTGCTTTTGGTCAATCATTGATGTTTTATTTAAATTTCCACCTTGTCTTATTTCAATTCAAAACAATTATTTGGAAAATTATATATATATATATATATAATTATTTGCAAAATTGTCTAATTTATTATTATTATTATTATTATTATTTCAAGTAAAAACATGAGAATATAAACTTTCGACCCAAAAAAAGAGGTAAATTATTGTTAAATTATGTTTAATTTAACCGCCGATTTTAGAAATTATCAGGTACAAAAAAACGAATTCTAGGTCGAAAATTGAATAAGTATAGTTCAAAATTAATATCTATATCAACCAAAACCGTTAAATTTATATTAGTAAAAAATAAATAAAATGAAAAAAAAATTCCTAAGAATAAATTTGTTTTTTTTTATTTTTTAAATTACTTTGGTCAAGTTCGTAATCATTTTGACCAGACAAAAAGTATGTTTCAACCATTTTCATACCTAAAAAGCCGCTATATGATGAATCTCAAACTTCCCAATGTTCGTCGAAGGTTGAATATGAGAGTCCATTTTTTTACGAGTCATCGGAGACGTGTTTTTAATCATTCAAAATCAAAATCAATTTAATGCTAAAATTGATTTTGAATGACTACAAAACATGTTTTGGAGTGATTTTGAAAATAAAAAAAAGTGGTTTTAATCATTTCAACATCGAACACTAGACACTCCCGAACACATCCTAATATAAATAGTAAAAGGGAAGCGTTCATTTGGATCGAAGTCCGGCATTCACTGTCTCCTACTGTCTTTTTCACAATCATCCATCCCACAAGCAAAAGACCATTCTCTACTGTGAAACCTAATGACAGCAATGATTCAACTCACTGGTAGTTGCCACAATTTCACTTCACTCAGAAGAAACCTGCATATACTATTCCTTCCAAGTCCCAACAATCATTCAAGACAGGACCCGAACCTCTACTACTCGTCTCCAACAATGGCCTAACCTAACCTATAAATACGTACAATATATAAGTTTTTCCAAACTCACCACTAGCAGATATTGTCTTTGGGCTTTTCCTTCAAAGATTCCACTCAAGGGTTTTAAAATGTACGAGAAGTTTCCCCACCCTTATAAGGAATGTTTCATTTCTCTCTTCAACCGATGTGGGATCTCACAATCCACCCCCTTGGGAGCCCAACATTCTCGCTGGCACACCGCCCAGTGTTTAGCTTTGATACCATTTGTAAGAACCTAAGCCTACCGCTAGCAGATATGTTCTTCTTTAGGCTCTCCCTTCAAGGGCTTCTCCTCCCTCAAAACCTTTAAAACGAGCCTATTAGAAAGAGGTTTCCACACACTTGAATGTTTCATTTCCCTCTCCAACCGACGTGGGATCTCACGTGAGACTACCAAATTAGGACGGTAGTAAAGGTGAAGAAGCCTACCACAGCTTGATAGATGGGAAAAAGCAGAATATGGCCTTTTAACTTACGAGTAAATAAGCTATTTTATTACAAGTTTAAATGATATACTGACTAATATATAAATATACTCTAACTAATCATAAAATAAACTAAAACTTGAGACACTTTTGTGAATATTTTGAAGTTTCTCTTTTTTTTTTTTCTTCAAATTTTAAAACATCCGTCAACTCCATGCATTTCTTGTACATATGGAAGAGGTAAAACAATTAATTGCAGTAGTCACCTTTTATAAGATGTGAGCCTTTGAGTGAAGCCAATTCTGAGACTGTTCAACTTGAACTGGATTCTGCAGGGCGTGGCCCTTTTTCATTTGTGTCACTCAAAGGATTGTTTCCTCCATTCTCTGGTATCTGTCTGTTATTTGATTCTGAAACTGGGCTACTATCCCCTGCATTACTGGACTCAGGACTGCTACTTTTTCTAGCATCTCTTGTTTCGAGACGTTCCATCATGCGCGATACCGTTTCTATTCCTGCATTGACCTCTCTTTTAACTTCAGAGCCAATATCTGACATTGAAGTGTTGCGGGAGAACAATTTTTCCCTCCAACCTTTTGTGCTCTTTGTGATTGAATCTTTGTACCTAAAAATAGAAGGAATGATAGAGATGTTGTAAGCCATGAAAGAATGAAATAATCAGAAATTATACTTGGAAAATAAAGGCCATTAAGACATATGACAAACCTCATTGACATTGCATTAAATCGAGACTTCAGCGAATCCGAGAATGATTGTAACTCTGATGGTCCGGCCCTATCTTGACTATTGGGCACGGATTGACTGGAAGATCTCCAAACAAAGGTGGGGGGGCAACAATATTAATTCATGACTAATAAATTCTAAGGGCTGCATACAATGGCATGTTCTATAAATCCAATGATAGACGAATACCTATCCCTCGAAGGAGATCCAAGTTGACTAGAAGAATGTAAACTGGATTGAGGCACGGAAGGAGAAGACTGGTCAGTTTGTATGGGAGATACTGATGTGTTGAGTTGTGGGGACTCTTCTCCTGCAGGTGGAGGTGGGGATACAGCAGCTACCATGATTCTTGGGGCTGTTTCACCCTCTCGATTGTCACCATGAGGTGGAGAGGTCGACGAAGAATTGGGATGGGAAGAGAACACCAAGAACTGGGAACGGCCATGAACTCCTGACCGATTTCTGTGGCCTTCCCTTCTAGCACCATGGCGTGCTCGTCCCATGGCAGCTGCTGCAGCTAGGTGTTGGAGTATACGCTCTTCAAGATCAGCATCATTAGCACCAGCTGGTAGCTGCATTGAGAAAAAGTGTGTCCCAACTTAGATTATAGTGCCCATGATTCACTGATATCAGGCTAAATAGCATACTGGCTATATACATGCTGTAACTCGAAGTCACCAAGAGTGGGATGGCGAAATATTGTTGAATTTCTAGCTGGATTAAGTCTAAAACTTCTCTCTTGTTCTACACCTTCGAGCAACTCCTGGCTGCAGAACCACCTCATATTACCTTCATCTGCTTGTAAAATTAAATGAAAATTGAAACAAAATATAAAATCTGTATAAACCTGGTTGGATCCTTCAGACTAATAGGTTGCCAACACATAGGGCATTGGGAGCTTCTCTGACACCTATTTAAATGAACAAAATAAACATGCTTGAACCATTCCAATTCAAATTCCGGTCATAACCTCAACAGAGCAAACTTCCTTTTAATGTAGAAATAATACACAACTTTATTGCAAGGTTTTTTGCCCAACTGAGATCCGACAAGTAGTCATACAACTACAAATTCTTTATGTTTTTTACAATTCTTAGAGAAATGTTTGATTTTTATTATTATGATTATTATTTTAAAAACTAAAAAAAAGAAAATGTAGTTTTTAAAAACTTTTTTGTTTCTTAAATTTAGCTACTTAACAAAGAAGAAAATCATTGTAAAGAAAATAGGAGAAAACAATCAAATTTTTCAAAAACAAAAAACGAAACCAGTTGAGACATTTTCTTAAAAAAAAATCAGTATATTTTCATGTATCCCAATGGTATTTTAGCTCATTAATTGAAGTATTTGATCACATTACAAGAAAAAAATTATTTTTACTATATGGAATAAAGAACAATTGTTTCATCAAGCAACTTTTAGTCAAGGATACGTATCACCTAAGCTATAGAAAGCATCCACCCTACAGAGAAAAACAATTCATTTCTACTTGAAAAAATTACCACCTCAACTCTAGTCTAAGAACTTGACATTTTAAACCTTCCCTGAAAACTCTCATGTCTTACAAACTATAGAATCGAATGAAAATCAACCCCAATTGAGCCCTATCATCATAAAGCATCATGGGGCAATGAATGAGAGAAATAAATAAACAAGAAAAACCCCTCAGTCTAACAGTAACAAAGTATATGATCCATAGGAACAAACTCTCAACCCAAGCACCCCAAGAAACAGATATGAACTAGCCAAGCAAACCTGTTATTAGCATGTAATCCAAGAGATTAAATATAGCTTGGTATTCTAATAGGAAACATGTTTAAAGGATCTTTTATCTAATGATAATTGGTTTACTGTATTTTTATGTAAATATGAGCAAGACAAAGCTTACTGAAAAGATGATGTTTAAATCCAATGTTGACTGTCAGAAGTCTGGATGCAAGTCTAGGAAGTTATTCAATTCAGTCAATTACTTTGGTCCACTGAAAACACAAGTGGAAGTGTATGACCAATTCAAAATGATATGAATAATCAGTATATCTTGTCGAAAAAAGTGTGGTAGGAGTCCCTGGGTTTTCCAAGTTCTTGTTAACTCAACCAAACTCAAAACCAATTTATTTTGTTCCACTTCCATGTATGACCATGCCCAGATTAAAAAGAAAAAGAAAAAGAAGAAGAAGAACACAGGGGTGCCTCGTCCGAATCTTGTCCCAAGTACTAATGCCTTCATGAGAAAGCTATCAAAAAACACCAACTTTTTTTTTATTAAGAAATGAGAGCATCAGAAGTGGAGGCATAAAAATATCACTCAAATATAGGAAGCTCATGTAAATCAATCAATAGAGATTTGGTTATAAGATCCTGACTATCATACACTCCAAGAGTAGGTTTGCCCTATTAGAACAGTGGCAGTTGTGATGAGTTCCATAAGATTGAATAATTGTCCCATGGTTGGAAGTCCTTATCAGAGAACTTTTTTCAAAAAGAAATGTCACAAAAGTGGTTATGAGGATCCAACAATCCTTGAGGAAGGAAGCTTTTTCCAATGATAGAGTTTAAAGGATACGGTACAAGGCAGACAGAAGATGAGAACTAATTTTTAGTAACTATTATTAATCAGCAGAGAGCATGTACAATTAAATAATGAGCAGCGAAATCTGGACTTCCACTATCCACGAACAATTATGGCTACTCTCCACAATCTCTTTTTCTTTTCTTCGTTAGAAGATAAATCCTTTTTGAGACTCAAGATGTTGAAATCACTTACACATATTAGAGATCAATTGCAGTCAAAACTTGCAATATATTAGACGCAACAAACTCTAATTCAGCAAGAAAATGGAAACACACATAAAAGAAAACAGATAAACATTCAAAAGACTTGGGCAACTGCAAAAAAAAAAAAAAAAAAAACATTGACAAAGCTAATAACTTAAAATGAAAGGCAGAGAAATATTTGCTGAATGGGTCTGCTAAGATGTTTCGCACTTAATTTCCTAATATGGTCACATCAAAAGGAATGTCAAGATGAGCTTCAAAGCACCAGGATGGTAATTACGGGAATGATCACCAGGGAGCCTGTCTTTTATCAACTAGAGTTAGCAAGAGAATGGAAAAAAACAACATATAACATATTCATATATGCTTTAATCCTCATATAAACTACAATACTTTTGTACCCAAAATCTTCTAGTTGCCAAATGTTTATCAATTCTGTACAATTCCAAGGGTTAAAATCCCATGAGCATTTGGCTAAATCCAAGTTTTTTCTTCTTTTTTTTTCTTTTTTTAATGAGAAACTAATGTCCCAGATTCATTATTGAGGATTAAACCCCTCAAAACCTAGCACAATCCTTCAAGATTGCGGTCCTCTCTATAGCACTGTTTAAAAAATCAAATATGTAAGATTCCACTAGCAAGATGTTTAAATAAACCTTCCAAAATCCAAGAGCCTCACTATCACTCTTTTTTCCTTTTCAAAGGAAAGAGGAAAGAAGATACTTTTTGTTGATTGACGTAAAAATACAAAATAAAAAATGGAATACCCAAGTATATCCAGTAGTCGCAAAATGGTGTATCAATTGGACTTAAGAGTAGCAAAAAGTGTTGTTTAATAACAAAAAGAAGCCACAATTAGAGGAAGGTATTTGGTAGTCTCCAAACATCCTTCCACCGTCTTTGTTATCATATCAATAGTAAAACAAGGTGCTCACGAGTTAATCTGATATCTCAAACAGATATTGCAAAAAAATAAACAAATACCATTCAAGAACGCACTGCAGATGAAACTCATGTTTGCAACTGGTCATCTGCACAAAATATAGAAACTAAGTGGAACAGAAACCATCTGACGTCCCATTAAGTATCAAATCACAATATAAGTAATACCGTTGAAGGATCACTATCACAGAAGTTTTCTAAACATATACTGCAAGCATCATCACAAGCATCCTGGATTCCACCTTCGACAAAAGCCGCAGCTGATGTCAAATGCGCTTCAGATTTTTTTGTTTCGTCCATAGTTGGAGACTGTATGAACAAAACAAAAAAACATGATCTAGTGCGTGACTTATAAACAACTAAACAAGGAAATGATATACACTACCATCAGGTATAATTTGGAGATACGACATACATTTCCAGTGAATTAAATCACGCACATACAGCCAATCTAAACGAGAACAAAATAGCTTAAACACACAAATTCGCGGAGCTACAAGCAATAATCCGGCACCAAAGAGAAGAGAAACAGAGATCGGAAGAACTACATACAGAAACAGCTAGAAAGCAGATTCAAGAGGCAAACACACTAGAAAGAGACAGATAAGTTGCTCATCTCCACATCTGTTACTCCATGAAAACAACAAGATAAGAAAAGAAAAAGAATCCAGTAACAGAATATATCCATCCACATCCACTTTATCATCCGAATAACAGTCGAGAAAAATGGAATCCAAAAACATGATGAAAAGTAGGTAGAATACAAAAAGTAATCCAAGAAAGAACAATCTTCATCGAAGAGAGAGAGAATTTAAAAAAATAGAAACGTCAAAGCAACAAAAACAAGAAAGAAGCAAAAGACGTGAAGACGAGGGAAAATTGGGGGATGGAAGTACCTCCATGTGAATCGAGCATGCGCAGGACGATGTTGAATGGATTGGAATCGGAGAAACCCTAAGGGAAGGAGGAGGAGGAGAATTGGGGCGGAGGTGGCGGTGGAGGCTCCGGTCTTGACTTGGAAAAGGCTGCTGCTGAGTGCTGAGTGCTGAGTTTGGGTTTGGTCGGTCGTCGGCTCAGTTATGAATGTATTTGTTGTATGAATCTGATGGGTTCATTTTCTCAACGCGTGGCCAATTTTTGTGGTACTTCGTCATTCTCTCTCTCTCTTTCTCCTATTTTTATATTAGAAAAAAAATAAAAATAACACGCTTAAATAATTTGAGAATCTGACCAATTTAAATTACCTAATTAGCTTAATTTATTTTTATTTGAGTTAAGTTGAATTTTTAGAAAATCGAAAATTTGGGTCGGTTTGTTAGTTGATATTCTTTTTTTCTTAATCTAAAAAATAAGGTTACAACCCAATCTCATCCGGTCTATTATTACTTGCAGGATTAGAGTGTATACGAGCGAGCATAGTCCAAAGAATGAAGAATCCTGTTATAGAGCAGTCGACTAGAAGTATCAGACTATTGAGAAGAGGGCTCGGAGTGTGTACAAGTGAGCATAGCCCAAAGAACGAGGAAGCCAGTTATAGAGCAATCGACTAGAAGTATCAAACTGTTGAGAAGAGGGCTCGAAGTGTATACAAACGAGCATAGCCCAAAGTACGAGGAAGCCCGTTATAGAGCAGTCGACTAGAAGTATCAGACTGTTGAGAAGACGGCCTCTCTCGAAAATGATGACCTAATTTCTCTTATTTCTTTTTTTTCTACTTTTATAATTATTATTAAAATTAAGAATATTTGACATTTAGAATAATTTATAAATATTTTATTTATAAAATTTTAATTATTAATATAACATCGAAATAAATATTTCCATCGTGGTAATAATATTTTTTCAACATTTTGAAATTTTCAATTTATATCAAATTACTAATTTATTCTTTAAAATTATTTTAAGAGTTGAATTTGATTAGTCAATATCTTTAATATTTGACCATTGACTTTATCCATACAATAAGAAATGACGGTAAGCATAAGGAATATTGATTATTTACCAGGGGCAAGAATGGGAATCAACCCATCCATATTTAAAGTCAACAAAAAGTCAACAAAAAGTCAACATTTAGTCAATCTAGGTCATCCATATCTTAAATTACCCTACACTCCCTGGTAAATCTAATACCAATTTAAACAAATTTAAAAATATATCTATTTTAAAATTTTTCCCTAATTACTCTCTCTCAAATTACCAAATTACCACAGGTACATTTCCCGATAAAATCTTAAGTTTTTTTAACTAAAAAACGAACCATCGTCGAAAAAACTCAACCTGGGTGATGCTACCTTGATCAGTACTCCGGAACATCTTGTTCTTCGTCATCTTCACGTGAGCAATCGAGATTGAGAAGTAGCGATAAGGGTTACGAGAATCTGATTTATCTGGACAAAAAAGAATATTGAACTAATTTATCATATAGAATAATATATCAACCGCTCATCTAATTTCATAAACATGACTGTCATTTTCTCATCGAGCGAGAGAAACTCACATGCGTCGAGGATGAGTCATCGTCCAACTCAGACATGGTTTGAACAACATCAAACACTTGATCTAAGCATGCTGTAGTTCTGCTGTCTAACAATCAAATACTCTGCCACGGAAGTTTTCGGCCTCGGTTGATCTATGTGCAAACAAGACAATAACAAATAGTTATTTTGTAACTAATATTCTGTAATAGTCCAAGCCCATCGTTAGTCGATATTATCCACGACTTTCCCTCAAAATTCTAAGACGAGTAATATTAGGGAGAGGTTTCCATACCCTCATGAAAAATACTTCGTTCCCCTCTCTAACCGACGTGGGATCTCACAATCCACTCCCTTAGAACCCAGCATCCTAGCTAGCACATCGTTCGCTAGGAGATGATGGTGGCTCCACTCTGTTGTTCTTACATGCATTCTCACACAGACTCACAGGCAATTACGGCGAAACTCCATGAATCTTGAATTTGATCGATTGGGTAGCAAAAGGACAAATCTTTTCGACTGTTCATACGAAATCGTTAGTTCCCCCATTAGCGATAGAGATACTTTTACTATTCCCTTTGGATGAAAAACAATAATACTTTATTTTAAAAATATTTTTAATTTTGGACGTGTTTTAAAATACCATGGAATCTAACCAAGTTTAATTAATACCATGCAATTATTTTAAGAAATTTGAAAAATACAACTTTAAAAAGTTTAATTAATATCATTACTTAAAAAAATACTTTTATTCCTAATTTGTTTAATAAATACTAATTAAATTTTAAAAATAGTATTAATCCTCTAAACTTTCTTTAAAAAAATACATTTAAAAATTATTTTTGAAATAAAATATTAACGGTCTCCAGTATACTTTGAATTTTTTTTTCAAGGTAGTTTAATTTCGAAAGTTCACGGTGTTAGGTTGAATGACACTGTGACGTCAGATTAAATTGTAACAAACCATGAAATCATAAATTTGATAACAAACAGAAAATCATATATTTAGTAAGAAATCATAGATTCTCTTTGATTTATGGTAATAAATATGATCTATTCTATGTTTAATAATATTAAAAACTTTGGAAAGTTCATAGGTATTTTTTTAGATAATATGCAAAATTCACGAGTATTTTTATTAATTTAATTTTTTAATTGGTACTAATTAAAAATTTGTGATTTTAAGTATATCTTTAATGTATCGATAGAATATATAATATTGGTACGAGCACTTATTGATAGTCGATATCGAGCGTGACGGTGACGTTGTAACTATATTATTATATGGACACTAAAAGTTCACTCAAACTTTCCTAGTTGAAATTTAACCATCTTGTGGAGGCCTAAGAATTGACCATCCACCCTTTGATTTCAAATCCTTACCCACTTCATCTTCCATAAATTCCTATATAATCCACCATCGTATTCACTTCTCAATTCACTCTCCTCGCTGCTCCCAATCGATTGACGTGCCTCGTACTCCACTGCCGGGTTCCGCCGTCTCCCGCCGGAACCGACCCCATTTTGTCCTCTTTCGCCGGAGCCTGCTCGGTAAGTTTCAATTTCTCAGATCTGATTGCTGCATTTGATTCCTTCCGTGTTCTAGATTTGGAAAACTAAGAGTGATCTGGTATTGTCTTATTCTCACATCGAAATGTCGTGAATCTGTAATGTGATCGGGTTTTTTTCGAACTCTATGGCATATTCTGGCACCGAAAGTTCATGAATCCGTGATTTGTGCTGGGTGATTTGGTTGAATTTCACTGCATTGTATGGAATTTCACTTCCTTGTTTGGAATGCCTCCGATCCAATGTCTACGATGATATTGAAATGTATGCATTCGATGCAGAGGATTTTGAGTTTCGATGTCTTATTGATCTCATTTTGCTGATCTTCTATTCTGTGTTCTTTGATTTTGGTGCCAATCGAATTATGTGTTTAACTTCAGAGTGTTCTTGTGGACAGTAAGAAGATGAGGGAGATTCTCCACGTTCAAGGAGGTCAGTGTGGTAACCAGATCGGATCCAAGTTTTGGGAAGTGTTGTGTGATGAACATGGCATAGATCCTACTGGCCGATACACTGGAACCTCCGATTTGCAGCTTGAACGTGTAAATGTGTATTACAATGAGGCTTCTTGTGGGCGTTATGTCCCTCGTGCTGTGCTCATGGATCTGGAGCCTGGTACCATGGACAGTGTGAGGACAGGTCCTTATGGACAAATCTTCAGGCCGGACAATTTCGTTTTTGGGCAATCTGGGGCTGGTAATAACTGGGCCAAGGGGCATTACACAGAAGGAGCAGAACTCATTGATGCTGTGCTCGACGTCGTGAGAAAGGAAGCCGAGAATTGTGATTGCCTTCAAGGTATAAATCTATGTCTCAGATCATCTTGTGCTTGATTAGATGCGATTGCTTGGATCTAGTGAGAATTGTTTAAGTTGTGGCCTTTAGATTTACAATTAGTTGTTTTGCTAATGTGCCCTTTATTTTTAGTTTTGGATGTGATTTTAAGACATGATTGAGAGTGTCAAACAATGGATCCAATATCGACCCATGTGCTTTGCATCTTTGTTTGAGTTAATATCATATAATGTTATTAAACTCGTTCAACTTCTATTAAATGACGTCGAAAAGTGTCGAAAAGTGCCAAAAAAGTATGTTAATGTCTTCTTTTGCTACTTTACTTTTTGCTTTTAATACTGTTTTTAAAAGAGTGTTCTTGAGCATGTGTCCAATTGTTAAGCACTCCTGATAGCATCTTCTTCATGGCCTTGCTTGCTGTAAGGAAAGGCCATGCTAAAGTCAATGAGATCCGTAGTTATTAATTAATTTTGTACACAAGAAGACAAATTTTCTTCATGTTCTTACACATAAAATCTGAAATTTTGTTCTTATTTATTGGCGAGTAGAAGTCGCCAATACCCCCTTTTCGTTATGTCGTTTGTTTTTGTCTCAACTTTATTGAGATGTCAGCTTGCACCATTCATACTTTAGAAAGTCTTTTCTGCGCCATAGAAAATATTACAGTTTCCGATCATCGGATTTCTGATTCATCTGCTGTTTTTAACTCAGTTTGTTTGCTCGTCATTTTTCTGTGTCCTCACAGGTTTCCAAGTGTGCCATTCACTTGGTGGAGGCACCGGTTCTGGAATGGGGACTCTTCTGATTTCCAAAATTAGAGAAGAATATCCAGACAGGATGTTGCTTACTTTCTCCGTCTTCCCTTCGCCGAAAGTGTCTGATACAGTCGTGGAGCCATACAATGCCACACTTTCCGTTCATCAGCTCGTCGAGAATGCGGATGAGTGCATGGTGCTGGACAATGAAGCATTATATGATATTTGCTTCAGGACTCTCAAGTTAACTACTCCTAGCTGTAAGTATAATATCAATCATTTGTTGATAAACAAGAACATGATGGTGAAAGGATTTGATTCAGTATTTCAAGCAATTCTAATCTAAATTGGCATTAAAGTTAATCTAATCAAGACATGGAGGCCGGTCATTTTAATGAGCATTCTATGATCATGAAACATCTCCAGTGTTTGTAGGTTCCCCTGTGAAAATCTAATTTCCTGACCTCTAAATTTAACTATCTGTCAGTATATTAATGTCCTATTATCTTACCTGAAACTTTTGTGTTCCGTTTCCATAAATTTGAAATTCATTTTGTTACAAGATTAGAGCTGCACCTTATGCTTTTAAAATAGTAGCTAATATTGTGTGATTTCACATTGGTTGGAGAGGGGAACGAAACATTCCTTATGAGGGTGTAGAAACCTTCCTAGCATATGTGTTTACGAGGGGAAGCCCGAAAGGGAAATCCCAAAGAAGACAATGTGTTTGGGCTGTTATAAATGGTATCAGAGTCAAACACCGTGCGGTGTGCCAATGAGGATGCTAGCCCCCAAAGGAGTGGATTGTGAGATCCCGCACCGGTTGGAGAGGGGAACGAAACATTCTTTATAAGCGTGTGGAAACCTCTCCCCCTAGCAGACTTCTTTTAAACACCTTAAGGAGAAGGCTGAAAGGGATATTACAAACATGATGTGCACTGCAGACGGTGGCTTGGGATATTATAAATACACATGCACAAGCGCCCATAAACGTAACTTAAGTAACTTAAAAGAATTGATTGTAACATGTAAATTTGACTGTATCATTTTAATTTGTTTTGTTTTTGATTTCTTTGCTCTTGAAACAGTTGGGGATCTGAACCATT